TACAAAGGTAACATTACTAATCTTGTTCTATGATATACCATCTTCCAAGAAAAATAGACATATATTGTAGATGTAAGAAACATCTAAACCTGTAGAGAATTTTTATGAGTTTATTTAGGCCAAAATGACAACAACTACAGGGCAGCAAAATCTCAAATTGAGAATATGCTCCAGAGAATGGCAGCTTTGCGATTTATTTTAGACATTAGAATCAAAGGAGGAGAGGTAAGGAGGGTTAAAAGAAATCCATTGGTGGTAGATTAAGATGGTGGGAGAGCCCTAGCCGTTTTTGCTCAGTGGTTAGAGTGTCCAGCCCACGGACTGAAGGGTCCCGGGTTCGATTCCGGCCAAGGGCATGTACCTTGATTGCAGGCCCCATCCCGGTTGGGCTGTGCCAGCGGCAACCAATCGATGTGTCTCTCTCACATTGATGTTTCTTTCTCTTTCTCTCTCTCTCTGCCCCCCACCCCCGAAAAAGCAATGGAAAAAATATTCTCAGGTGAGGACTAAAAATAAAACTAAAACAAAACAAAAGATGGGAGAAAGCAAAGTGGGGAAATCTCTGGGATTGGATAAAAAATAAAACAGATACTTCTTTTCCATTGGTGGGTACAGGATAGTTAATAGCACAGCACATAGAGTTGGTATTCAGGGAACAAGATGACAGTGAGGGGTCCTGGGGTCTGGGTTTTCTGGGGGTGGGTGTTTCCTGAGGGGTCCGGAAAAGGAGATGACGCTGACATTTCAAAGGTATGTTATCTTAGATTCAAAAAGACAAGAGACTCACTTAAGGTAAAAGACCTTTGTTAAGGAAGCTACAGGCCTAGGATGTGACTACCTGCCATAACCCTCTCTTAGAGATTTTTATGTTCAGATCATACTATATGGTTAATTTTAATTTCTGAGTTTGTAAAGCCTGCTATACAGGCCTCCCTTGAGCTTGTCAGTTTTAGTATGAGATGTCTTTTAAATCTACAATATGAAGTGACTGAGAATTATTTAATGTAAGTACTGTGGGGCTAAAAGAATACTTTCCCTCCCACTTTCTAAGTTTTAGCTGGGCTAATAATCAAATTAACAGAGACAGATTAATAGGAGAAAATCAAAATTTTAATACATGTGCATGGGGAATTCACACAGTCATGAAAATTTTAGCAAAGCAGATTTAAAAGAACCTATATGATCAATTGCTATACTTCTTGAAGTTATATAATCAGGCCAAATTCATTGAAACTAGACTTATGCAGTAAACAAATTAGTCTTAATTTGGCTATCTTTAAGAGAAGTGAGGGTGATTTTAGAATGAAAAATTGTTTCAATAGAAGCTATAATACACAGATGTGGATATTAGATTCTAGTTTAGTTGACTTTAAAGTTTTATTTTTCATCTGTAAGCTGGACTGAGTCCTTGTTTTCTTCCTTTATCCTCACTCGAGGATATTTTTTCCTTTGCTTTCAGGGAGAGTGGAAGGTGGGGGATGGGGAGAGGGAGAGAAACGGAAACATTGATGTGAGAGACACGATTGCTTGCCTCCCGCTCATGTGCCAACTGGGGCCAGGGATTGAGCCTGCAACTGAAGTACATGCCCTTGGCTGGAATCGAACCTGGGACCCTTCAGTCCTCAGGCTGATGCTTTAACCACAGGCTAGGGCTGTTTTCTTAAATATTTGGCTACAACCCTCTGAACCAGAGATTTTCAACTGGTGTGCCACAAGAATTTGTAAAACACGCAGCATCTGACTATTTGGTCAGGGGCACTGACCTCTTTTCCCTTAGATTGTCAAAAACATGACAACAGCCAACACAATAGCAGTCTGGTATGAGTGAATCAAAATTATACCTTTTTTTGGGTCAGATTGGCAAAAAAGTTAATATATTTTTGGTGTGCCACAGAATTTTAGTAATTAGTTTACATGTGCCATGAGATGTTTCTCTGCCTCTCTATCCCTCTCCCTTCCTCTCTGTAAAATCAATAAAAACATTTTTTAAAAAATCCATGAAAGCTTAAATGTTGTAGTTCATTGGCTAAAAGATTTATTTTTTGAAAAATTAGAAAATTCTGTTTTGATGATAATAAAACTATTTTATTTTGTCTTTAAATCTTATATTAAAAGTGACCTTAAGTAATAGCTCCTCTAAGAGTGCCAGCTGGAGCTAAGTATATTTCAAAACACTAGCAGTATCACAGCAAATCTTGTGTCTGCTTGAAGTGTAGAATGGTCATACAAACTAATTACGCAAACAACTACCTTTTAATGAAATATGTGGTCCAGAATGTTAATTTATCACCAAAATATATATTTCCCCTTCTTTCAGGACACATGCCAATACTACATTTCCCACCTTGTAATTGAGTTTGGCCATGTTCTCACTGATGGAATTAGAGCCAAAGTGGCATGTGCTAGCTACTTCCTAGTTTAGGCCACTACTTCTTTTTTTTTTTTTTTATCTTTATTGATTTCAGAGAGAGGAAAGGAGAGGGAGAGAGAGAGAGAGAGAGAAACATCAATGATGAGAGAGTCACTGATTGGCTGCAGCCCGCAACCCGGGCATGTGCCCTGACCGGGAATCGAACCCTGATCGCCTGGATCCTAGGTTGACGCTTAACTGCTGAGCCACGCCCAGCCGTGCTAGGCCATTACTTCTTCTGTTTCCTGCCAGTCAAGACCCAAGGTAACATACCCTAATTATGCTCTGGAGTATGTTGGAATAACATTATGGAAGGAAGTGAAGTTCCTGAATGACTGCATGGAGCAGAGTTGTGATCTGACTTGGCTCACCCACCTCACACCTATTGTGTAAAAGAGAAATAAATCTTTTGTTCTTTAAGCCACAGTATTGTTGAAAGTAACATTTCCTTTTACTTGCAACAGCTTGTTTCTTGGAACAATAAATCCATGTCAAATCCATTTGGGATCCTAGGTCATTGCTTAACAGATGAGCCATGCCTGGCTGGGCCTAATGATTATTGATGTTTTTTCATGTCCCTATGGCCATAGAGAAATGTCTATTCAAGTTCCTTGCACATTAAAAAATATTCTTGTCATTGAGTTATAGGAGTTCTTTATATATTCTGGATATTAATCCCTTATCAGATGTATCATTTGTAAGTATTTTCTCCTTATGCCTTTTAGATCAAATTTATTAAAATATCCAATACTGGAATTACCCTTGCTTCCTCACAGCATCCAATGTAAGGAAAAGTGCTTCTTAAATCTCCCCAAATCACTTAACACAAGGCTAAAAACTTTATATAAAAAGTTCTTTTTAACACCTGAATTTAACACCCCTGGCGTGTGTTCTGCTTCACTGCAACCAACCAGTAATCCCAAATTTGTTTAACTCTAGGTGTATTCCTGGTGGTTTTTCACTGAAGGGTATTGTCACAGGTCATGCTCAGTTTCATCCCTATAGGAAGAAACAAAATTCCACACGGGTCTTTTCCATGTTTACGTTTTCAAATTTAATTTTCTAAATATTAATTTTTATTGTATATTATAAAAATGTCAGCCTTTCACGACCGAGGTAAGACCTCGGATAGTTGAGAAACACTGACCTAAACGACGTGTAACTTAAAACAATTTTAAGACGTGCTGCGCAGCGTTTCTCTCAATGGGAAACTACAATGCCCAGAATTCCTCCAAATGCGTAAGCGACGTCTCCTCCGGCGACCTCGCCGCGAGGTCCTCTGGGGCATGTAGTGCGCGCATTCTGCTCTGCACGCTCAGCTCTCCGGCATGTTTTCCGGTTCGGGGACAGACAGCACCCAAGGAAAGGTGATGTCTCCAGAGTAAAGGCAAAAAACAGTGATATGAGAGAGGGGTGAGCAACACAATCGAGCCTGTTGTGTCTTTCGTTTGGGATTGGGGATCAGGAATAGCCTTGACTTCTGAATTATCCTTACCAGCCTTCTCTTGGATCCTCCTGAAAAGTTGAAGGGCGTTGAGGAAAGAACTTGCCGGCAAGTCAGGGCAGGCAGCTGCGGTGGGTTTTATTTTGAAACCCAGCAGGTTTTCAGGGTTCGACCGAGAAACCGAGGCCTTCTAGATAATTGGGTTTGTTTCCGGAGCGCGGAGATCGAGGGTAGGGGCTGAGCGCACGCCGGCCGGGCCCGAGGGACCACATTTACTCGTTCAGCGCTACTGTGTGCAGGGCGCGGAGGATGCCTGCCATTTGCGAGGGGTATCACTGTTTAGCCTGTACTGTACCAGTTCACAGGTGGTACCTATCGCTCATTTATAGCCCCAAGGCCCCTCTTTTGGTTAATTATCCCCCCCAAGGTCACTTAGCTGGGGCAGAGCTGGGGACTTGACACCTTGGTGGTCTAGCCGTTGAGTTGCACCCACTTTCAACCGTGGAGAGACGGGAGAATCTGGAAGGTAACTTTGCTTAGTGCAGGGTTTTCTGTGTTATGTGTGTGACCCAGGTGGCCTTGGGTCAGGATGCTGTACTGATTGCCACAAAGTAGTCAGTACTCTCTCATCGTTTTTTTCTTGTGAGCTTGGCATAGCCATAGAGAGGAGTCCAAGCATACTTTTAGTGTTGGTTTGTTGGGCTGTTCAAGTTGAAAGACAAAAAACGGTATGGTTGTCCCAGCTTCACCAGTACTAGAGTCGTTTTTAAATCGTTTTCAGCCTAGCGTTTCTTATTTGTAAAATGCAAACGGTAATATCTACATGGCAGGTTAGTTCAGAAAATTTAATGACATAATGTATTATGAAAATCCTTTGTAAAATGTTGCAGAAGTATTAGATAATGTGATTTTAGTCCCAGCTTTGAAATCATTGTTTCTCAACTAGAAATATAAACATTTATAATATATTTTAATTATTGTTATTGATGAGGGACAGAGGTGGGAGGGAGAAATGTTGATTTGTTGTTCCACTTATTTATGCACTCATTTGGTTGCTTCTTATATGTGCCCTGACAGGTGAATGAACCCTCAACCTTGGCATATCCAGACAACGTTCTAACCAACTGAGCCACCCCACCAGGGCTTATAACATATTTCTAAAACAAATTGTTTTTCATAATTATCTTTAGTTCATGTATTGCTTCACCATGTCTTATTTCATTACTTGATTTTTTTAATACTTTCTGATTGGACCTTAAATCATCTTGCTTATTGGTTAAAACCTATCTAAGGTCAAAAGTGACTAAATTGTTTGACTTATTTTGGGGCACCAGGAGAAAGGAGCAAGAAATCCTGAAAGCAAATATACCAGAGAGTTATCCTGCTGAAAAAAATTTTTAATTATGGCTCTGAATTAATGGCTACTATTTGTAGAAACTTTAAAGGTGAATATTTATTTATTTATTGCAAACAGTTTCACTCTTTTTTTTGGTAAATCCCCACCTGAGGACATGCTTAGAGAGGAAGGTAGAAAGAGAGAAACATCAATCTGTTGCATTCTGTAAGCTCCCTGACCTGGGATCAAACCTGCAATCCAGGTATATTCCCTCACCTAGTATCCAACAGGGAACCCTTTGGTGTACCAGACAGTGCTCACTAGCTGAGCCACTCAGGCCAGGCAACAGTTTTACTTAAAAAGACAGTTCTGATTTTGGGATTTTTTTTACCCTTTTGCTGTTACGGTCAAATTTGAAAACTTTATGTAAATGTTAGATGTAACAATATTTAAAAAATAATTTTAAGCCGTAGCTGGTTTTTCTAAGTGGTTAGAGCTTCGTCCCTTGGACTGAAGGGTCCTGGGTTCGATTCCCGGTAAAGGGCACATACTTTGGTTGCAGGCTTGATGTCCCTGTCGGGGGCATGCGGGAGGCAACCAACCAATGTGTTTCTCACATTGATGTTTCTCTCTCTCTCTCTCTCTCTCTCTCTCCCTTCCACTATCTCTGAAAAAGCAATGGAAAAAATATCCTTGGGTGAGGGTAAAATAAAAAATAAAAAAATAATTTTAAATTATAGTTGACATGCAATATTCAGGTGTATACATCATAGTGTTTTGACATTTATGTACCGCATAAAGTGATCACCATGACAACTTTAGTACCCATCTGTCACTGTACAAAGTTATTATGATATTATTGACTCTATTTCCTATCAAACATTTTTTAAATGGAATGCAGAAAGAAGCCCCTTTTCCTGGACATTTAGTTTTGGATCAAACCCTACTATCTAGTTCAGACTAAGAACAACATATCTAGTTAGTGCAAAAAAACTTGTTACTTTAATTTGAATGTTGGAATTCATTTGATATTAGTCATATAAGTATAACCATCTTAAACCAATTTTTTTTACAGAAGCTGTATATTGGAGTGGGATTTGGAGTCATCATAATGGAAGCAAAAAATATAAAGGAAAAACAGTTATTTTTATTCCAGCATATTGTACCTGGCTACTAGTTACAAATGGTTTTCTTGACCCAGGAAAATTTGTGGTGTAAATGAAAAGACACCTTTTTTCTAGACTCAGTGTTTACAAATATGCTTCGCCTAAGAGCTATTTGTGCATTCTCCTGGAGAGTGTTTCACTTTCGACCCTTCAGTTGTGAACCATTAATTAGCCAGATGGATAAGTGTACAAATGAAGAGCAAGTATTTGATCTTATTGAAAAAAACAAAGCCATACTTTCAGAAGAGCAAGTGAGATGTGCATTTAATATACTTTGGCAATTTCAAAAACAGAAGACCAGCTTGTTAAAAAGTGTTGAATATATCAGAGACCATCCCCAATTTCTTACTCTTTATAATTTAACTGCAAATAAAATGGAATTTATGAATGACGATAACCTGGTGAATGTGTTGTACATCACACAACAGTAAGTAACGTATTTTTAATTTTATAGAAGTGATTATGATTATATTTTAACTTCCTAAACGTCTCTTTAAAATGGAAAACAAATTTTTCTTATAATTTAGTTTTCCTGATCATCTAAGATTTTAAAGATGTTTAGAGGATATTCTTTGATTGTGGTAGTCATTTCACAGTATTTGCATCTCAAAACATATTGTGCAACCTAAATATATACAATTTTTATTTGTTAATCGTAACTCTATAAAGCTGGGGAAAAATTTAAAAAGGAAGAAAATTTTACGTTGTTTGCAAGGGAACCCAGCCTCCAGAAGAACTGAACTCCCTAAATAAAGGATTCAGCAATTATATAAAGGAAAAAAGCACAAAAAAATTACAGTTAGCCTGTTTATTAGTCTCATTGGTAGAAAAATAGGAAAAATAGCAGTTTTCTCACATGATTATCCAACTTGCAAGGGCTATTTAAGTAGCTGTAGATGTTAACATTGCACAAAGCAGAAATACAGTTGTTGTTTTTAGGGAGTCAGCATATAATAAAGAGGCTTAAAGCTTTACTTATTTGGGGGATGGGTGTTAGACTAAAAAAGAGTGGCTCTTCTATTGTTTTGGTGGTCTTTCTGAGATTGCAGAGTTTTTTCTCTGATGTACATGAAGAAAAGAGGATATGTAATGATGATGGGCAAAATGCCAGTTTTGCTTTCTCAGTGGTCATGTTAGTTTGGAAAATACTGATCAGACAAAATTAAACAGATTTTTATTGCAGGACTCTTCAGAGCCATTGATATGCCAGTATATATTGTGAATATCTAAGTGGGCATTTTCCAAACTTATTTAACCACAAAACATNATATATTGTGAATATCTAAGTGGGCATTTTCCAAACTTATTTAACCACAAAACATTGTGTTGAACATTTCACAAGACTGATCTATGTCAGGCACAGATGGAGAAATGCTGCTTGGTAATGATTTGCCTAAAAACTTCATTTCTATGTTCCTCAAGTCATATTTTAATAAGGAAAGGATTTCAAGAATAGAATATAATTGTGCTTTCAAGTTTTTTAAACAGCATGTAGTTTGATTTTGCTTCATGACTCAATCTGAAATTCTTTTCTTTTAAGAGATAAAATATTGAAGCCTTAACATTATAAAGATGTTGAAGTTGGTTAAAATGAGAAATGTTTATGCATACAATATATAGTATATGTGGCTTAACTGTATATGTAAAATATCCATTGTTAGCGAAGGTATACTGCAGGGGTGGGGAACGTCCAGCCAGTGGCCTGTACTGGCCCTGCCAAGGCCTCTTCAAAGAGAAGCAGTTCAGGCATCACATTAGGGGTGAGTTAATGAAATGTTTGATGAAATATAGCAGGTTAATTTTTAAGTTGATAATTTTGTATGGCCTGTGAATGATGTTATAAATATCCAGATGGCCCTTGGCAGAAAAAAGGTTCCCCACCCTTGGTATACTGGAACAGGAATTCTTATATACTGCTGGTAGTGTAATATGTGTCATGAACTTTATTAATTTAAATTTTATTTTTCGATTACAGTTTACATTCTATATATTTTTTGTATTAGTTTCAGGTATACAGGTTAGTGGTTAGACAATCACATACTTTACAAAGTGATTCCCCTGATATTTCAGGTACCCACCTGGCATCATACATAGTCATTACAATATTATTGACTATATCCCTTATGCTATACTCTACATTCCTGTGACTTTTGTAACTACCAATTTGTACTTCTTTTTTTTGTTTTTAATATGTTTTTATTGATTTCAGAAAGGAAGAGAGAAAGAGAAACATCAGTGATGAGAGAGAATCATTGAGCAGCTGCCTCCTTCATGCCCCCTATTGGGGATCGAGCCCACAACTCCAGCATTTGCCCTGACCTGGAATTGAACCGTGACCTCCTGGTTCATGGGTCAATGCTCAACCACTGAACACCACCAGCTGAGCCCCATTTGTACTTCTTTATCCCTTCACCTTTTTCACCCCATCCACCAGCCTCGCTCCCCTCTGGCAGCCACCACTCTGTATCTATAAGTCTGTTATGTTGTTAGTTTGTTTTTGTTCTTTAGATTCCACACATCAGTAAAATCATACAATACTTGTCTTTCTCTAACTGACTTATTTCACTTAGCATAATACCCTCTAGGTCTATTCATGCTGCATATCATGAACTTTAAAACTACTCTTGGGCCCAATAATTTTGCTTCTAAGGTTTATCCTAGGAGAGTAATCTGAGATACATATAAAGATTCTTGTACATGGATATTCATCTCAGCATTGTTTATAATATTGAAAAACTAAAATTCAAATAGTAGATGAGTGTTTAAACAAACAATACTACATTCACTTAATGGGATAATATACAGTCATTAAAAATTACGTTTTGAGGACTATGTAATTACTTGCACAAATGCCCACAATATAATGTAAACTTACTGAAAAAGGCAGGATATAGAAATGTTAAAGAAATATGTGTATTTCATATGTGTGTAGAAAAAAAATAACTGGAGAGAAATGTTCCAAATTAATAATGGTGGCTACTTATGAGTAGCAGAGTTACAACTGATTTTTATTACCCTATTAAAATTTTTCTTTATTTTACACACTTCATCCTATAGAAATATTTTTATAATTAGAGCAAAGTAATGCATGTTATGTGCACTTTTAACATGAGATACATCTTTGAGCATTTTTATTGTTCAGTGGAGTGCATTGAAACGAGCAGATAAAAGGGTGAGAGGGACATGAGATAAAGTATAGATGTTTATTAGGTTGTAACAAGAAATAAGAATACTGAGCTCGGCTGACATGGCTCAGTGATTGAGCATCATCATATGATCCAGAAGATCGCAGTCCGATTCCTGGTCAGGGCACATAGCTGGGTTGCGGGTTCGATCCCCAGTGAGGGCCGTGCAGGAGGCAGCCGAACAATGACTCTCTCACCCTTGATGTCTTATTTTTCTCTCTCCCTCTCCCTTCCTCTCTCTGAAATCAATAAAGATATATTTCTTAAAAAATACAAAACAACAACAAAAAACATTTAAAAAAAAGAAAAAAAATCAGAATACTGAAATGGGAGTGGACCAGAAATAAGGACTGACTGTTTAAAAGTATAATAACCCGAGGTTCACTTTTACATTATAACTCTTATTACATGTGTTTTTAATAATTTAAAAATGCATATGTATGGAAAATTATTTTCTCTTGTTTTTATTGAGGTTTGCTGTTGAGGCCCATGACCCACTAGTTGAGGCACTAGTGACAGAAGCATGGAGAAGACTGGAAAGGCAAGTACTCCGAGTTCTTCACCTAAGGTCAGGGTTAGCACAGTGAAATCTTGTAGGAAAGGAATGGGAAGTGTGTTTTTCCTTAAGGGAGAAGGAAGGAAGGAGATTGCTTCTTAAAGCTAAAGCCATGATTAATTCTTAACAATTATAGTTACATATGGGCCATCTCTGTAGGTCCTTGTTATGAGGGCTGGATTACATAAACTGGACCAAACAGTTCTCTGGGGTTAGAGATTTTACAGTTTACTAAATTGTTATTTTAGCTAATCTCATTATCTAACCCCATCTGTCTTTTCATCCTCATTATTTTTGTATTCCCTCTACCCATAACTATTCTTTATTGAGAGTAAGGAGAATAATCTTATCCCTTTTGTGAGCAATCCAAACTATTGAATCTTTGGGGTTAAATTTGGTCATTGTTGATGATAGCTTAACACATTTTATTTTTCTTCAAAGCAGCATTAGGTGTTATGTTTATTGCAAAGCTTGAACAAATCTATTGCAAAATACATGCTTAAAAAATTTTTGTTTTTGCCCTGGCTGGTTTTGCTCAGTGGTTAGAGTGTTGGCCCTCAGTCTGAAGGGTCCCGGGTTCGATTCTGCCCTAGGGCACGTACCTCAGTTGCAGGCTCGATCCCTGGTCGGGGTGTATTTGGGAGGCAACCATTCAATGTGTCTCTCTCACATCTCTCACATCGATGTTTTTATCTCTCTCTTTCCCTTCTACTCTCTCTGAAAAAACAAACAAACAAAAATTTTGGCTTTACCTTATACTACTTAAACAATTAAATTACAAATGTAGTTATACTTCCCAGTGAAGGAGACATTTATTTTTAATTTTCTTCATTTCAAAAACAAAACAAAACCACAAAATAGCCCAAAAAATAATGACCTTGTTCTATATGGTTTTTATTTGTAGCAGTACTTTTATTTTTATAATACAAAGTTATACAAATTTAAAAAATGCTAATTTGTATTCCGTATATTGAATTTCTAAGAGTCATAGAAGAAGCATTAATTTATGATTTTTTATATCTCTCTGCCTTATGATGTTAATTTTTTGTAACTACAATAGCTATTAATCAGTGATTATGTTAAATTATTTATGAATTTGTTACATAAATATAATTTGTAATGATTCAAATAGGATAGGTTACTATGATTGGCACTATGTGATGGATCATAACTAGGATAATAGCATATATTTGAAATTCAAATGGAAGATTTTATTTATTTATTTATTTATTTATTTATTTATTAAAATATATCTTTATTGACTTCAGAGAGAGGAAAGGAGAGGGAGAGAGAGAGATAGAAACATCAATGATGAGAGAGTCATTGATCGAGCCTGCAACCTAGGCATGTGCCCTGACCGGGAATTGAACCCTGATCACCTGGGTCCCAGGTCAACGCTCAACCGCTGAGCCACGCCCGGCCAGGCTCAAATGGCAGATTTTAAACATTTATGAAAATAGAGAGATTAGTTTAATGATCTTCCAAGTACCCATCACACAGCTTTGACAGTTACCAATGTATGTATAGCAGTCTTGTTTTATGTAAATCACTTCCCATTCCCTCCTTACCCTTAAGTATATTTTAAATTGATAAGTACTCTTAAAAATATATATTGTCACAATGCCATTATAATACCTATGAAGTGAATAATAATTCCTAATATCACCTAATACCTGGTTTGTGTTCAGATTTCTTTCATTGCTCTCTAAAGGTCTTTTTATAGGTGATTTATTTAAATCAGTATCCAAACGAGGTTCACACATTATATTTGGTTGCTTTGTCTCAAGTTTCTCCCTCTTTTTTTTTTTTTTAATTCTCACATGAGGGTATTTTTTTCCATTGCTTTACAGGGAGAGTGGAAGGGAGTGGAGAGGGAGAGAGAAAGAGAAAGACATTGATGCGAGAGAGACACATTGACTAGTTGCCTTCCGCACATGCCCTGACCATGGGCAGGGAGTGAACCCACAACCCAGGTACGACAGGGAATCAAACCCGCTATTTCTGTAAGCAAACATTTGATTGAGGAATATTATATAAAATTACACCAATCATAAATGTACAGCTTGATGTATTTTCACACACTGATTACTCTGTGTAAAAGCACCAAGATCAAGAAACAGAACATTAGTCCCCAAAGTTCCTTTTACCCATTCTTCCAGTCATGTTCCCTCACCCCAAGAGTACCCACTATCTTGACTTCTCATATATTAGCTTTGTTTTTATAGAAATTGAATCCTATAGTATGTGCTCATATCTAGTTTAGTTCACTCAGTATGTTTTAAAGATTTATCCATGATGTTGTGTGATTTAGTAGTTTGTGCTTTTGATGGACATTTAGATTATTTGCAGTTTTTTGCTATTACATATTGTGCTGCTATGAACTTCCTTATGCTTATCTTTTAGTGAATTCAAAGTCTAAAAATTTATAACAATTCTCTTCTCCCTTTCATCTTGTCATTTACTTATTGAAGAAATAGGGTCACTTTTTCCTATAAAAAAATTCTGAAGTTTTTCATAGTATGGTTGTAGTAGTGGTTGTTTTATTTGTTAATATACAATCTTGAGTTGAAACTGTTCTGACATCTCAAAAAATAAGTAAATGATTCAAATTATTATTATATAAAAAAATATATCTTTATTGATTTCAGAGAGAGGAAGGGAGAGGGAGAGAGAGATAGAAACATCAATGATGAGAGAGTTGTCATTGATCGGCTGCCTCCTGCACGCCCCCCCATTGGGGATCGAGGCCACAACCCGGGTATGTGCCCTGACCGGGAATTGAACCACGATTTCCTGGATCCTAGGTCAGCCTCAACCACTGAGCCATGCCCGGCCAGGCGATTCAAATTATTTTGAGTAATTTTTTCATTAAAAAAATTACTCAAAATAATTGAGTACAATCTTCTGTTAGTATCTGACTTTTTAAAACTGTTAGCATGGGTTACCTTTATAATAACAAATAATCAACATTTTAGAAAAATTCATTTTAAAGTAGCAATGTATTAGAATATAATAATTTTTTTATTACTTTTTATTTTACAACTGTTTTTTATGTGTTTTAAGTGAAAGTAAATTCTAATGACCTTTTTTGTATATTTCTTCAATAGGTTTGATGTTAATGTGCTGTCAAAATTTTCCTCTTGCCTAGCAGATCAACACTTATATTTTAGTCCATTAATGGGAAAAATAGCTGATATTGTAAATAGGAACTTTGAAACCATACAGGACTTAAGGTAAATTTATTTAGAGGCCTTGCATTGTGGTGGAAAGGTTATGGGCTTTGTGTGAACATGCACTTAGATTGGCCACTTCCTAGTTATGTGACTTTAACTTCTTGGGAAGTTCACTATCCTCATTTATAAAATAGCGATAGTAGTGTAATCTACTTTGCAATGTTGCTGTGGGAATTAGAGATAAGGTATTTAAAGTATAACACAATATTGTTGAGATCTGTGAAGGGTTTGAGATTTTACCTTACTTGCAAGCTAACAAGTTTGCCTGTCTTCCTAATGACCTCATCCAACCTTAATTACCTCCCTAAAGGCTCTATCTCCAAATATAGTCACATTGTGGATGGGGCTTTAACATAGGAATTTTGAGACAACACAATTCAGTCCATTACTTATACCAATGTTCATAGCAGTATTAGTCCCAATTGCCAAAAAGATTTGGTAACCCAAATATCTATTAACAGAAGAATGGACAATCAAAATGTGGTATATACCTATAATGGAATATTATTCAGCCTTAAAAAGGAAGGAAATTCTGACACATGCTTCAACATAGATAAACCTTAAAGACATTGTGCTAAGTGAAATAAGCCAGACACAAAAGGGCAAATTCTGCTTGATTCTGCTTAATATGAGTTACCTAGAGTAGTCAAAGTCATCGAAACAAAAAGTAGAATGTCTGTTGCCAGGGGTTGGGAGAAGGGGAAAATGGAGAATTACTATTTAATGAGTAAGGAGTTTTAGTTTGAGATGATGAAAATGTTCTCCAGATGGAAGGTGGTGATGGTTGCACAACTATGTGAATGTACTTAATACCACTTAACTACATTTAAAAATGTTTAAAATAGTAAATTTTACATTATTTGTATTTTTCTATATACATGGAAGTAGCTTGTAAAAGCAGACAGTAAAAATTATTGTAAAGTAAATTTTGTTAACTTGAAAAAATTCTTATAGACCCCTTTGAGAATCTAATGAAATCTTTGGACATTTCCCCACTCCAAACTACAGTTACAAATATATAATCATTTCAGGGGTCTTTATGGTTAAACTAAGTAGAAATGTTAGGCTACTAAGTAATGCCAATATTAACATTGAACATTTGATTAGAGAAGCCGAAGTATTATACAACTGGGTCTTTAAAAATAGATTTATTTTATTGAAAAGATTAAAAGAAATTTGGAAACAAAAATGTGTAAACATTTCCATTATCCTAATGGTTGAGATAGTTTCAGATTTATATTTATATATAATTTTTTTTTGTTAATTCTCACCCAAAGATATTTTTTCCATTGCTTTTCAGAGGGCATGGAAGTGGGAGAGAGAGAGAGAGAAAAACATCTATGTGAAGGAGACACATCTATTGGTTGCCTTCCCGCATGCGCCTTGATCAGGGCTGGGGATCTAGCCTGCAGCCCATGCCCTTGGCTGGAGTCGAACCCAGAACCCTTCATTCACAATGCTCTAACCATGGAGCAAAACTGGCTAGGGCATCAGAGTTATAATTTTATGCCTTTTTTGTAGATTGTTTTCTATTATCATTCCCAACTATTTGTTATGTGTCTTTAAAAAAATTATTTTTAGAGGGAGAGGAAGGGATTCTTGTATGTGTCCCGATCAGGGATCGAACCCACAACCTTGGTGCATCAGGATGACGCTCCAACTGAGCTACCCTTGTTATATGTCTTTTCCATTTTGCATTCTTTATTCATTATGGATGCATTCTTGTAGTTGTGGTTTTCTAATTTTTATATTATGTAAGAACTGTCATTTGAAAACAGGGACCTCACTTTTATAATTTTGATGTCTTCCAAGTGCCCAGAAAAGTGTTCCTTAAAAGTGTTTACTGAGTAAAGAAATATTAAATGCTACTTCATGTTCAGTGCTGTCTGTCGTATATTAATACCAATCTAGCATGAAACATTAAAATACATAAAATCATTAGTGAGAAATATTTTTGCAACTTTTTTATTAGTAAATTACTGATATATAGAGAAAGGAGTAATAAAGTGAAGTTCTACCAAAAATATAAAATGAGACTTTTGATACTGCATTCATGGGCTGTTGGTCCAGTGATTTCTAAGTAAATTTCACTAAAATATTTTCCTTTAGCCCCGTCAAGTAGCTCAGTTAGTTAGAGCATTGTCCTGCTAAACCAAGGTTGTGGGCAGATACAAGAAGCAACCAATGAATGTAGAAATAAGTGGAACAACAAATCAATCTCTCCCCTCTCCCCCTAAAAAAGATCAATAAAGAAAAAAAATTAGCCCTGTCCAGTTTGGCTCAGTCAGCCCTCAGACTGAAGGGTCTCAGGTTCAATTCCTGGTTAAGGGCACATATGTTGGTTGCAGACTCAATCCCCAGCCCCAGTCAGGGTGCATGTGGGAAACAAGCAATCAATGTGTCTCTTTCATATTGATGTTTCTCTCTCTCTCCCCCTCTTCTCTCCCTTCCAGTCTCTCTAAAAATCAATGGAAAAATATTCTCGGGTGAGGATTAAAAAAAAAAAAAATTTCCTTCAAAGAATATATCTGTAGAACTAGATATTTATTATACATACTCAGAAAAATATTACTCAATTTTTTTTTGTTCAAAGGGGTTCAATTACTAGGAGATCTGAGTCAAGTCCTGCTAGTATTTAAAAGAAAAATTTTGTGGTATAAAACCCATAATGTTTTTAGCAGTCCCTTCCATATCTATTCCATATCTATTCTTTTAGTCTTAGAATTGTTCATTATTCTTAAATAATGTAAAAATCTTTGCATCTTTTTCCTTTTTAGGCCCTTGTCTATTTTGATGGTCAACATATCTTCTTTAATATCACGACGTTTTCAAGAACAATTAGTGAACAAAACAGAACTTCTTTTTGACACCATAGATTCTTCCCAGGTCAACACTGCAAGAAGAATAGTACAGTTTCTTCGAAATATTAAATATAGTTATTATCCACTATTAGAAAGGTGTAATAATGTGTTTTTAAGCAATGTGAACGACCTTGATTTGGACTCTATCAGTAAAATACTTAGTCTGTACCAGACTCTACAGTTTCATAGTTTTGAATTTATTTTAATAGCTAAAAAGAGGCTAACTGAAATGATTCCTCTGTTTGATCAGCCTGCTAGCTTTGTGAAATTGTTTGTAGCATTGGGACCCGTGGCAGGACCTGAAGAAAAGAAACAGTAAGTTCAGCTTAAAATGTTTTACTTTTCTGTGGAGAATATGTGGAGCCTTCAAGCTTAGATGTTTTTGCAGTTCTGGAAGGCACAAAAATCAACCCATTCAACTGTGGAGTGGAAAATAATCTCATATGCTCTGTTCCTTGATTCTTTCTCTGTTCATTCTAATTTACATCTCAAACTCTTATTCTGCCAGTAACCCCTGGTGGACGAGGTAGAACACCCTTTAAGTGTCTTTATTCTCCCTTCCTAGGCCATGTGACTGGCTTTAAAACAGGTATAAGACTCCCCCACCAGTGTAGGCTGTGGACTACTCATAATTATGGTTGTTAACAAGACCATTCTTTGCTTTGTCTTCACATTCATCATCAAAAGCATTTATTAAGCATATTGGCATATGTTCCCATGTCCGGTTTGAGTGAATTTGGTCTGTCTCTCATCTTTGAAGAATTTCCAGTATTGCCAGATATTAACATTGCTAGAAATTTTAGGGCTATAAAGATGAGCAAATACGATATACATGATTGCTGATAGGAGCAAACCGATAAACATTATTAGCGGATTAGTTAAGCAGGGGTTCCAGAGAGTTGCATAATAGAGCTTTCTACATCATTACTCTGTTAGCCAAAACTTTATGGAGAGTTTTATTTTTAAGAATCCTTTGAATTACATATGAAGAAATGTATGAATTTGAGTATTCATAAATTATATGGCAGCGTCATGGTATTTACATATTTCAATTATGTATTTCTATCCTCCCAATTGGAATATAAAATCCTTGAAGGCAAGGACCCATTCAAATTCAACTTTTGTACTGCTTTAGCATATGAGATTTTAACAATACTTAGTGACAAAAAAAGATATTCCAATAAAATTTTTTAAATAATAATCTCGTTCTCATCTTGATAGTCTCTTAAAATAATACTCAAATTCGTAATACAGTTAGTGCTGTGGGCAGACAGAAAGTGAGAGGAAAATGTGGATTAAAGTGGCAGAGAAAAGCTAAGAGAAGCTGAGTTTGAAATGTTTGATAAGGTTGATGAAGAAGATGGTGTGGAGTAGTGTGAATAGAAAATCAGTTTATCCTGCTATCCTCAGATTTCATGTTTTGGGCTTATCTTCTGAAAGACATGTTTGAAATACTTTCATTACTGCACTACTTTGGATGGTATAAAAGTGGACTATCTTTATAAATTTTCAGTTCATAGGGTTACAGCAAGTACTTACTATGTAAAGTTTCTGTTAATATACATACATTATTAATATACATACATACCTTGTGATCAAATCTTACTCAATTTTTAAAAATTGGGCCCGGCCGGGCGTGGCTCAGCGGTTGAGCATCGACCTAGGATCCAGGTGATCGGGGTTCGATTCCCGGTCAGGGCACATGCCCAGGTTTTGTGGGCTGCAGCCAATCAATGACTCTCAAATCATTGATGTTTCTATCTCCCTCTTTCCCTCTCCTTTCCTCTCTCTGAAATCAATAAAGATATATTTAAAAAAAAAAAAAATTGGGATATTGTTGGAATGGCAGTTGTTAATTCTTTAGCTCTCTAGTACTGAATAATTTCACAGGATTATTATATTTTATAACCATTATAACCTTTTCTTACTTGAAAATCAATTAAAAAACTTTTGTCTATTTAAAAAAAATATATATATATATTTTAATTGATTTCAGAGTGAGGGAGGGAGAGAGAGATAGAAACCTCAGTGATTAGAGTGTCATTGATCAGCTGCCTCCTGCACGCCCCCTACTGGGCATGTGCCCTGACTGGGAATCCAACTGTGACTTCCTGGTTCATAGGTTGATGCTCAACTACTGAGCCATGCTGGCCTGGCCTTTTGTCTATTTTTAAAGACAGTTTAAGATTACATTATACTGAGGGCTTAATTGCTTTTACAAAATAATATTTTTTATGTGATAATAAAATATCCCCAATTATGTGGGGGACAAAGTTGAAATTATATACATATTTGAATTCAGTTTTTCTTCATATTATTTCTTTTCTATTTGTTGCGTAAGAACTGTTATTTAAAATTTTTTAAATAAGCTACGAGTTTTTCCACATAAAAATATTTTTCTTTGCTTCTAGACTTGAGTCAACTATATTACTGATGTCAGAGGAGCTGACCAGCCAGCAAGCCCTGGCAGTGCTGGGAGCAATGGAAGAGATGGAAAGCAGAAATTCACATCTGATTAAAAAGTAGTCCTTTCTGAAATTCATGGTGTTAAGTTTAGTTGTCATTCCTAAGTAGCTATGTTTTTGAGGAAAGATTATGTTTTTTCTATAATTTAGCTGTTTGTTTTGAAGAAATAAGGAATTAATACTTAAGGTATTGTTTATGTACTAAATAGTTTATTTTTCAAAATAGAAATTCTGAAATTGTTTATATCATTTTTCATATCATTTGCTACTGTTGTTATTCTCAAGCAGAGTACCATAATCTGGGAAAGTTGAGAGCATAGAGCAGGACCCTACTTTTCAAAAGGACAATTTCTGCGAAACAGTTCACATCTTTGTGAGCTTGGTTTCACACCACGGTTGTCAGCTTGAAATCATACTACCACACATTGAATTTTGTTAACTTGAGATTTGAGAAGGAAAAAAATTCATGGTTCAGTTTATATGTATATGTTATTTTTAAATTATCTATTATATATTCCTTTTGCCCTAGTCCTCCAACTTACTGTCTCTTAGCATTTCCTATTGCTTTTAAGCATCTCTCTTAGAGGGCCAGTGAATTTAAGGAAGATAATTAAATCAGTTTTGCTACTTGTTAGTAACTCTTGGTAAAGATTTTTTGGGTGAGAGGATAACTGTTCTGTAAGATTTTTTTTTTTTTTTTTTTTTACTTAGGCAGTAAAACTCTATGCTTTTCTCTCTTCTTGCTATTGATAATTAAATATTTCATTCACACTTCATTGATAGCTCTTACCTCGTTCTATTTTGTTACATTTCTATCACCATCTTTTAAAAAATTTATTTTTATTTTTCAATTATATTTGATATTCAACATTATATTAGTTTCAGATGTACAGTGTAGTAATTAGACACTTATATAATTTACAAAGTGATCCCCCTTCCCCATAAGTGTAGTATCCACCTGGCACCATTTCTGTCACCATCTTGAGACAGTTCTTCAAGAACAGAAAGCCTTGTCTCATTCATTGCTGTTTCTGTAGCACAGAGCATGTCTGGCATGAAGGAGTTCCTCAGTAAATGTTTAATAAATGAATGAACTGGTTATAATATATGTTTTATCATTCTATTTAGAATTGCTTCAATTCTGCATAAGAATTTGGATACATATAGCCCAGTAGAGTTATTGAAGGTAACTCAAGCATTGATCTTTCTACATTTCCAAAGTAAAGAGCTTTTTGTGAAACTCAGAGAATTACTGCATAGGTAAGATTAAAGTAAAAGTGCTTGTTGAGTCTTTCATTTTATAATCTAATCTTTCAATTTATAATTTTGTTTTGTTTAATTATGTAAAGAGTTGTTGGAAAGTTTGGAGGTAGAATTGGGTAGCTTATTATTAAAAATGTTAAGACATTCATCTCTCCTCATGCCCATTCTGCCAATGCATATACTTGGTATATTTTGAAATGGAAATTAGGCCAGTTCCCTAGGGCATGCATATCAGTAAAAGCCAAGCCATTCTTCTTTTCTGCAGGAATAGCATAACCATGAAAATACTGGAGCTGCTGAAGAAGGCAAAACTCTGTTTGGGAACACTCATGTTTAGGGGCCTTCAGTTTGCCTCCTTGCCGTTTTTTAAAAAAATATTTTTGCCCTGGCTGGTTTGACTCAGCGCTTAGAGTGTCAGCCTTCAGATTGAAGGGTCATGGGTTCGATTCCTGGTCAAGGGCACCAGGAATTCTTGGTTGCAGGCTCAATCCCCAGCCCTGGTCGAGGTGTGTGCGGGAGACAACCAATTGATGTGTCTTTCTCAAATTGATGTTTGTTTTTTTCTCTCTCTCTCCCTTCCACTCTTTCTGAAAAAGCAATGTTAAAAGTATCTTCAGGTGAGGATTAAAAAAAAAACTTAAGAATTTTATATTCTGCCCTGGCCAATGTGGCTCAGTTGGTTGAGTGTTGTCCTGTGCACTCAAAGGTTACCGGTTGGATTCCCGGTCAGGGCACATATGAGGATTGTGGGTTTGATCCCCGGATGGGGTCCATACAGGAGGAAACCTACTGATGTTTCTCTCTCTCTCTCTCTCCCCTCTCTTCCTTTCTCTAAAACCAATTCAAACAAACAAACAAATAAATAAATGATTTTATGTTCTAAATGAGATATCGTAAACAGGCCCAGAGACATGATTTATGTGGCTTGCACAGTGGTTTTATTTTGTTTGTTTGTTTTTATATCTTTATTGATTTCAGAGAGAGAAAAGGAGAGGGAGAGAGAGAGATAGAAACATCAATGATGAGAGAGTCATTGATCGGCTGCCTCCTGCATGTCCCCTACTGGGGATCGAGCCCGCAACCCCGGCATGTGCCCTGACCGGGAATTGAACTGCGATCTCCTGGATCCTAGGTCAATGCTCAACCACTGAGCCATGCCTGGCTGGGCGGGCAGTTTTTTTTTTTTTTTAAATTAAATCACAGCCTCACCCTGGCAGTTTTGTTCAGTGGTTAGAGCATTGCCCTGTGGACTGAAGGGTCTTGGGTTCAATTCCTGGCCAAGGATGTATCTCTCTCACATTGATGTTTCTCTCTCTTTCTCTCCCCCTCCCTTTCACTCTCTCTAAAAAATCTAACATCCTTGGGAAAGGATAAAAAAAATTACAGCCCAGCCAGAGTGGCTCAGTTGGTTGAGCATCATCCTGTGCACCAAAAGGTTGCTGGTTCCTGCGAGGACACACACCTGGGTTGGGGTTCAATCCCCAGTGGCAGCATAGTATGGAAGACAACCAATTGATGTCTCTCTCTTTCTCTCTCTCTTTTTCTCCTTCCCTTCCCTCCCATGCTTTCTCTAAGTATGTCCTCAGGTGAGAATTAAAAAAATTAAATTACGTAGTTCTGTTTATAGGGAAATAAGATAGGAGTAGGTGTGTCAAAGAGGATTTCACTTCAACCGTAATGCTTTATTCCTTTATAACAAGACTTAAAGAAACTATGACTGTGGAAGTTTAGTAATTCTTAGTATTGAGAGCCCTTATATGTCTCTATAGTTTAAAATTTTATCAAAAAATTAGTTCGGAGATGTTATATAAAATCATAGGTCCTTGTGCTTCAGAATTACTCACCTTCCCCCACTTCAGTGCAGATTGTGTGAAGGGGCACAATGTAATTAAACTTGTTCACATAAATGTTTATATAAACAGCTCCTGAAAACATTTGGGGAACTGAGGGAATTCATGTACTGGAATAATATGGTGTTTTTTTTAACATATTGAAATATAATCTACATAAAAATATATATCCCTTCCTCATTATCCTGCTCACCCTCCCACCCCCAAGTTAATTATCTCTACTTTAAGTAATTAGTTAATTTTTAATAGTCTCACCCAAGGATATGCTTAGAGAGAGGAAGGGGGGGAAGCAAAACATTGATAGGTTGCCTTCCATATACATCCCAACCCTTGGCCAAACCTGCAACCTAAGTGTGCTGTTCAGTAATCCAGCCGGCATCTTTCGGCACGCAGGATGTTGCTCCAGCCAACTGAGCCACTCTGGTGGGGCTATCCCTACTTTTAACTGCATGGCTTAGTTTTTCCTGTTTTGTCTGATTTCTTTTGCTCAGTATGTTTATGAGATTTGCCTGTGTTTTTGCAGTATAGTAGTCATAAGAATATAACAAATTTTTTTTTATCTGTTCTACTGTTGATGAATATTTATTTCCAGTTTTTAACTATTATAGTGTTATTGTGAATATCCTTGTACATGTTTTTTAGTCAACATATATATGCATTTCTGTGGCTATTTACCAAGGAGTATGATTGTTGGTTCATAGGTTATACATATGTTAATGTTTGGCAGGTCCTGCTAAACAGTTTTCTAAAGTGGCTGGACTAGCTATAATGCCACTAGCAGAATGTAAGCATTCCTTTTGCTCCACATCCTTCCCAACACTCTCCCCCCCCCCCAATTTTAGCCATCCTAGGGGCTATGTGGTGGTATTATAAATAAACATACATGCATATGTATATTTTGGAATTTGAGGAAGAATCACCAGGAAATAGAAACTATATCAATTGGAGGTTAGAGACATTTTATTAGTTGGGTGTTTATTTTTATTTTTTCTTCTTATTGTTAACAGTATTACAGATGTCCCCCATTTCCTCCCCCCTTTGCCTCTTCCACCCATCCCCTGCACTACCCCAAGCCTTCACAACATTATTGTCTGTGTCCATGGGTTATGCATATATACATACATGTTTTTTGGTTAATCTTTTCTGATCCCCT